TTGGTCCTTGTGTTTTATATTCTTTTTTTTCTATAAATGTATTCCTTTGTTGTATACATAAAATCTCGCTTTGACAATAATTCATGAAATATGTAGAACTTCTGTTTGGTAACTGCATTTAACATTTCTTCTAATCTTGAGATTTGGTTTTTTTTCTCGTAATTTTTGAAAAATGTTCGATATTTCTTTTGATATAGATTTTCTCATATATTTACTCTTTAAGGTATTAGTTCTCAAAGGAAAGGTTGCTTCTCTTGAGAATTTTGTTCTCTTTGTCGAAAAATGACAAGTTGTTGGTTTCTTTGGGAAAAATAGAGATTTTATTTTTTTACTTTGGGAGAAGTAAAAATTTTGATTTGAAATTCGGAAAATTTGTTTTGAGGAATATATTGGAAAGTTTTGTTCGCTCGACATGAATGTAAATTTAATAGTCCCATTGATGCCACTTGTAGTTGGATGTATAGAAGCGGGTCTATATGTGTACAGTTGGTTTGCTTAATTAGAGTCAATCTCCAGAGAAACACCTCGTTTGGATACTTGGGAGTTCTCCTTTCGTGATGTACCTATAACTTTGGCAAAAGATAATCTTTCCAGAATTCTCTTAGAATTTTGATCTCGAATTTTCTTTCGACAAATCCGTAGTTTTTTCTCCAACTATTGTATAATTCAAAAATTGAAATTTACCCCGAAGGGATTTCTTTCAAGTTTTTCTATTAAGCAAATACTTTTATGACAGTAAAATCTTATCATTTTCTATATCTCGGAAAGTTTTCTCTCTTCGGGAACTATTTGTCGAGATGAAATTTTCACGAGTCTCGAGGAATTTATCGACTCTTATTGGAGGGATATTATTGGTTCTCATTTTGATAAGTGATCCACCTAAAAACTTGTTGTTTTTGGTCAGGGATCATCCCCTCATTGAGTCTCTCTCTTTGCCTCTCTAAAAATCTTTTTAAGACAGAGAGAGAAAGAAAGAGATTTTTAGAGACAAAAAGAAAGAAATTTTATTGACAGTTGCATTATAAGATTGAGAAGATTGAGAAAAATTAAAAACTTTTTACTGGAAATCTTCAACTGTGGAGATCTTGAATTTTCATTGATTTTCGTGAAAGCAAACCAGCCGCGACTTTAATGCACATGCGCAAATAAGCAGGGATGGTACAATTAGGTCATGTACCTTTGAACTAGTGAACGACTGTTATTTTATGACGTCAAGCATTTTCCGTTTACACATTTTCTGTTTAAAATTAATCTTTCAAGATTTACATACTCTCGTCTTATTCCCATGAGAGATTTTCATATATGTATACATCTGCTAGTTTTTTTTTTATTTTTTTGCTCGTCCTCAAAGATTCTCTCGAAAGAGACTTTTTTTTTCTTTCCTCTTCTCTATAATGGTGTTTATTTTTCTTAAAGCCACTTTTGGTTTTACGAATATTGCACAGCACGTGACGTTTGATCGTAAACGTATAGAAAAAAGATAAAAAAAAGATCGCTAAAGTTCTTTTCATAAGACCGTATAAATGCAAAAAAAAAAGTTGAAACGTTTTAAATTATTAAAAGACATTTTTTATTCAAATTTTACATTTATTCTAAAACGTTTTTATTCTGAACGCTTTTTAATTATACGCGCAGTATTATTATAATTCTGTTGAATTTATACAAAAATTCCCACTACTTAAAAAAAAAAAAAATTAATTGTCGAAGAAATTAATCACGTTTCTTTATTTAGTTTTGATACTAGATTTTGAAAGATTTCAATTTGATCAAACACTCCAAATATAACTCACAAATTCTAAAGTGTAACATATAGTTAATCGATTACTAATTTAATAAATAAAAATATCGAAAATAAAATTTTAATTATTAGGAAACTTTGATTGAATTTGAAGACGCTTTAATTAAATTTTAATTATAATAAAATTAAATTTTAAAAAATGAGACTAAAAAAGTTTTCTCAATGGATTTATGGCTTTGAATATGGAGAGAGAGAGAGAAAGAGAGAGAGAGACAGAGAGTTATTCTTCTATAAAGTAATTATCAAAAAAAGTTTTTGTACTTTTAGAAAAGAGTCAAAGCAGTGAAGTTAACGAATAACATGACATACACAAATTAAAAGTCAATCAAAGTCAAAATTAAAAATGTGCAGTAAATGCAGTGAATGTTGTCAAGCGCGACATAGTGTTGATACAAGTCCCACGCCCGATACCAATTCCGAGTCGTCAGGTAATTTTTAATTAAACGAGTTTTTTTTTGTCATTTTATTTAAAAAGCAAAAGGTGAATTTATTCATTTAAAGTTTTATTAAACTATTTCTTTGTCATGCAAAAAGAAAGGATTTTATGTACTCGATCATTAAAATTGTGATTGCACTTTTAATAGACACTTTTAACATTTTTTGGCAATTATTGCAAAAATGCAAATTTTTAAATTTGAAATTTTTGAAATTTTTATTCTACCAACAATTTCAAACATATTTTTGTCAGTTTTTTTAATATCAAATTGAGACGAAAAAAAATCAAAAATGTTACTTCGCAACACTTTTAATTCGTTTTTCGTCTCAATTTCATATTCTTGGAAAAAGTGTTAAAATTGAACAATTAATAATCAAGGATGTGAAAACAAAATCAATTATTAAAAAAATGATTTTTATAAAATTCTTCGCGAAAATCCAATTATTTAAAAAATTTATTTAAAAAATCGTTGTAAAAATTCAATTATTTTAACAAATAATTAAATTCTTCTCAAAAATTCAATTATTTAAAAATTCAATTGGAGAATTCAATTATTTTTATAAATAATTGAATTCTCAGAAATTCAATATTATTTTTAAAAGTTCGATACAAGAATTCAATTATTTTTATAAATAATTTATTTCTTCCCAGGAATTCAATTATTTAAAAAAAAATTTTTTAAAACATTCGTTGCAAGAGTTCAATTATTTTTATAAATACTTAAGTTCTTCTCAGGAATTCAATTTTTTTAAAAATTCGTTTTAAGAATTAAATTATTTTTCTAAATAGTTAAATTTTTCCCAGAAATTCAATTATTTTTAAAAATTCGACACAAGAATAAATATTTTCATAAATAATTGAATTTCTGAGAAGAATTTAGTTATTTTTAAAAATTTTAATAAAATTCGTTGCAGAAATTTAATTATTTTTTTAAATAATGAAATCCATTTTTAATTATTTTTAATACATTTTTCAATGAATTTCTTCGAAAAAATGCAATTATTATTAAAAATTTTATTAAAATTCTTCGTAAAAATTCAATTATTTAAAATAAATTTAATAAAGCTTTTTATAAGAATTCATTCAATTATTCAATAAATTATTTATTTTTGTATTTAAATAATCGAACTCTCGTAGAATTTTCGAAATAAGAATTATAAACCAAAGATTTTTAAATTGAAATCTTTGAAAATCTTAATTTTGAAACTGAAATAAAATTAAAATTTTTATTTTGAAATAAAATTATTAGAGTTTTGAATAATTTAACTTAAAAACTCTCTCTAAATTTAAATATAAATCAGTGACTCTATTATTGTGATTTTTGAATTAGTGGAATTTCACTGAAAATCATTCAAAAATTAATTATTGGATAAATGTAAATTATTTTTCACTGATTTGCCAATTATTAAAAAAAATTTTTAAATTACTGAAAGTTTCTGTCACGTATATTGAAAATGTCAAATATTTTTTTAATTGTCCAGTCAGTGAGAGAAACGGATTGAATTGAACATTAATAATCAGGAATGTGAAAATATTTTGTTTGAATTATTTTGTAAACTACACAGTTTTTGTTCCGCTTTTGCGTTTGTTTTTTATTTTTTGCTTTTTGGAGGTTTTTCTTTTTTGTTATGTTTATTTTTATCATTTTTTGTTCATTTATATTTTTTTATGTATTTGTATTTCTTATTCGTTTATATTTTTTTATGTATTTGTATTTTTTTAATTATTTATAGTTTTTACGCTTTTTTATTTTCTATTTATTTATATTTGTTTTACGTATTTGTATTTTTATTTATTTTGTAACGCGCTCCAATGAAACCTAAGAAGCAAAAAATTGTAGGTTATGTTTGAAATGTTTCGAAATAAAATACACAAAAGGGGATCAAGTTTCAATAAATATAAACTATTGGAAGTCTTCATTTCATTTGAAACAATTAATTAAAATTACTTTTGATTTTAAAATAAAAAAGAGAAAAACTTTAATGAAGGGAAAAATAATACAAACATAACCTTAAAATTCTTTGCTTCTTAGGTAACTTTCTTCAAGGCTCGGAACATTTATATTTTGTAATGTAATATTTTTGTTTATTTATTTTTTTCCTTTTTGTATTCTTTCATTTTATTTTTTATTTTGTTTTCATTTTTATAATATATTTTTAATCATTTTCTGACTAGTTAAGTTTTCCTAATCAGCAAAGTTTTTTCAATGCGCTAGAGATGTTTCTTTGGCGACGTGGTAATTAGTACGTTAGACAATTTGTTTCATACAAAGCATCCAGGTTATTAAGTGTGTCATTCTATGAAGTCTATGTATCCCTTGAATGTGAGAGAGAGAGAGGAAGAGAGAGAAAGGGGGCAGGAGAAGGGGGTAAAAACATGAAAGCATCCGTGCACATCTTTAGAAATTCACATGTGCTCGCATAAATTATAACCCTCTTCTCCTGCAAGACAAATTCATTCTTGAGTTCATCCTCACGTTTCGTGTTGCGTGAAGGGTGGATGTATATAAAAAGATCAGTTCTCCAGGTAGAGGCAAATCATATCATTTTTTTCATGACAATCATGACCAAAATTAAACAAATTCTCAAAAAATAATAAAATACTTTTGTAAAGATTTTATATATTCATTTAGAACACAAAAAATAAACATTTCACCTGTGTTAAATAATAATTGTTAATTAATTTCACAAATTAATAATTGTTAATTATCATATCGAAAAAAAAAATATCTTCTATAATGAAAATGTTTATTTTTTCTTGTTCTAGAAGAAGAATGGAATCCAGATGGTAAAGGACGCCAAGGAAATGACATTGGTGAGTTGTTTTATATTTTCAATTTTTTATTATTTATGTCGATTTATTTTATTTCATTTATTTTATTTATTGCGTCATTATTGCGTGACAAATAATTTTTGTAAAAAAAAAATAATTTTACGTTCTATCGGAGGGAGGAGTGACAGCTTTTATGATCATTTTTTTTTATTTTACGTTATATGCTGAAAAGACTTTCCGATTTATGAGTTTTATAGTTGCTAGTAAAAGATTTTTTTTTAATAACAGAGACAACCCCTTTCGATAAAAATGATTTTTTTTATGCCTAGAAGCGAAAGAGGATTTTATTTTTCTCTCTTATAAATTTTTATAAGAAACTAATTTTTAATTGAAAGATAAATGTAGCCTTAATTTTTTTTTATTCTCCCTTCAAAGGTATCGTAAGCTTAACTTGACCCCTGAAATTGTTAGAAACTTTGATGGGTTTCCAAGTTCACGTTTCCCCTTTTTCTCTCTCGTCATCACTATAGTGATCCCTCTTTTTTTTATATATTGGAAAGTCCGATAGCTTTGTATTTCGCAACATGATAGAAAATAATGCCAATATCAACTAGTTTTTAACTTCCGTTGCGTGTCAGTGAAAAAGTAAAGAAATAAAATTTATTGCTTGCCACATCGGATCGTATATATATATATATATATTGATAGGGGAATACGTCATCTTGAATTGAATTCCAGTGTTTGTGTACATTTCATTTTTATCCGCAGACGAGATTTTAACGATTTTAACGATTTTAACGCGTTTCGAAATCGAAGACACTTTTTTATTCATTGTTTCTCTGTATAAATCGTTGGGGAAAAAAGAGGATCAAAAGAAATTGAAATCCCGATGAGATTGAGATAATCCTTCCTTTTTTTTAGTATAAAAAAGAAATCTCCGAGGACTGCTTTTGTTAAAATTGTTCTGCACAATTTCCCCGAGAAAATATCGCAAAGAGAATAAATTATATTATGTAAAGTATAAGTACATTACGTGGCATATATTTTGGGATTTATTTTTCGAATAGTTGAGAGTTATTCTGAAATACAGGCCTTGGATTATTATGACTTTTTTCGACTTTCTTCAACTATTTTCAAAAAATACGACTTTTTTCCAAACGTTGCAACAAAATACCACATTTTTAGTATAAAATGCAACTTATTTCTATTTTTATAGTGTGAAAAGTATAACTATAGACAAATCTTTGAAAAGTTATTTTTGAATAATTTTTCTAATTAAATTTTTGAAATGAATTAAAAAGATTTTGAATAATTGGAATTTTGTAATTAATTTACTTGAAAATAGTTTCTTTTAAGTATTTTATAATAATCTTTGAAAATCAATCTTTGAAGAAATGTAGAATTTTAATTACAAATTTTTAAAATAATTAAAGTCTCAAAAATTTTAATGAAAAATCTTCAAGTGTAAATTTTAAAATGAAAATTAATGAAAATTATATTAAAATATTTTAGAAAAAAGAAATTCTTAGAATTTTTTCAAAATTATTTAAGTTTTTAATAATTGAATTTAGAAATGAAAGTTCAGAGTCGATCCGAGGCGTGGGAATATTAAGGAAGTTTTATTTTCATAAATAGAAATTCTGCGGATGAGCGTTTGTAATAATTGATGTAACTGGATAATTAATAGATGATTTGTCTGCCCTGCTAAAGTGTTTGGTCGAAGTACTGAATAATTTTCATTCGGATTACATTTAAATAATTACATTTGAGAATAGAGTCAATAATTTTGGCTCCTCTCGCATTATTATCGAACTTTGCATTGTTTAATGTTGTATAGTTATTGAATAATTTGTTTGTTGATCCAAAGTTTAAATTTCTGAATAGTTGCGGGGAATTTTTGCTGTTTAAAGTATAAGGAAGTGTACATTCTTTAGAAGGAATCTTATCTTTTATTTAAGTTTTTTAAAAGCCCGAGAGTAGAGTATTTGTTGAAGATAATAAAAGTTAATCTTTCCGAGTTAAAAAATGTATTTCAAACGAATTGCTTGAACTCGCTTCATGACTGAAAAGTTGACCAAAATACAATTAGATTACTCTTGCTGTATGATGGCTGTATGATGGCTTTTATAGGCTTGCCGCTCTCTTTAATAAGTTACTCACCACTTTAATGGGCTCAACTATGACATTATCGTCTTTACAGACATGAATACATACATACAGTGTGACCAAAAATAAACGTGACCAGAAAATTGAGATCCGTTTAGCATTAAGCGCACGTTTTCGTGTTGTTCTTTTGCTGAAACATGTGTTAAATTGTATGTAAGCAACCAAATTGCCTGGATTCCTAGTTAGTTTTCAAAGTCTATAAACTGCGGTTTCAGTTTTACAAGCACCTTTCTTAGTTTCATTTCGCAACTCTCTAAAAAAATTCTTTTCTCGCGCTAAAAATTTACCATCTAGTATAAAATTTATTTTTTCTGTTTATTTCCAAACAAGAGTAAATTTAAAAATTAGTTGACTGTAATGTTTATGTTTCCTACTCCTGCCCTGAAGGAATAAAGGACGACATTTAGTTCAGGCTCCTTTCGAGTTGACAAGTTGTCCCCTTTTTTAGGGGATATGTTAACTGGAGAAAAAAAATCCCCCAATGACCCTTTGCCAATTTTTATTGTTGCAAAGACCCCCCATTCAATTCAATAGCTCTTTAAAAGCCGACACGACGCTCAAAAAGCGTTTATATTATTCGGGCGTGTTAAAAAATACATTCTATAAGGGTCGAATTACCTTTGAAACTTCGGAACCGGAAGTGATTATACACTTAATGTTTGACTATTGCTGATAATAGAGTTACACCATTTATATTATGCTATCGTCTTGACTGTATAACTGCTTCTCATGTTCGAATATAGAATTTACAATTTACACAAATTCACGAAATTAGGAGATTGAAAATGTTTACTTGTTTGTTAACTCGGATTAGATTTGAATTTCATTCAAAAATTCGTACACAGTTGCTGTGCTTTCTAAATTATTTTATTTCGATTTTTATTTTACTTATTTCTTTTCTCTCATTACGGAACTTTTTTCTTTGAGGGCATAAACAGTTTCTGTTATTTAAATAAACTTTTTCGTCGAATAAACTGTTTTTAGTATTTTTTTGAGGGGGGATTTTTCCCATCAGTGACATTAACTATTTTTGTCAGTTAAAATCTCTGAAATACTCTAAAAAAAAAATATTTCTAGGCTAAGAAAAAAATTTTTGTTGATTTAAAAAAATCATTTGCTTTCATTACATGAAAGTAAATGATTTCTTTAAATCACCAAAACTTTTTTTCTTTTTTTTTCTTCGATTGAAAATTAACTTTTCTTCAATTCAAAGATAACTTCTTTAATTAAAAACACTACAATTTTCATAAAATTTTTCGAACAAAATAAATTATTTAAAAAGATTTTTATGAAATTCTTCGCGAAAACTAAGATTTTTTTTTTAAATTTGTTGCAAGAATTCAATTATTTTTATAAATAATTAAATTCTTCTCAGGAATTCAAATATTAAAATTTTTTTTAAAATTCTTTGCAAGAATTCCAATTATTATTACAAATAATTAAATTCTTTTCAGGAATTCAATTATTTTTATAAATAATTAAATTCTTCTCAGGAATTCAATTATTAAAAAAATTTTTCTTTAAATTCTTTGCAAGAATCCAATTATTATTATAAATAATTGAATTCTCTCCAGAAATTCAATTACTTTTTAAAAATTTTAATAAAATTCGTGGCAAGAATTTAATTATTATCCTAAAAAATAAAACTTATTTTCAATTATTTTTAATTCATTTTTCAATGAATTCCTCGAAAAAATTTAAAAATGCAATTATTTTAAAAAATGTTATTAAAATACTTCTAAAAAATTCAATTATTTAAGAAAATTTTGATAAAGTTCCTTATAAGAATTGAATTTTAGGAAATATTTAATTATATTGAATAAATTATTTATATCTTTTGCATTTATAAATAATCAAATTCTCGTAGAATTTTCTAAATAAGAATTGATTTAAAATTGAATTTTTAGTTAAAATTTTAGATATAATTGAATATTAGAAGCTTTATAGAGTAAATTTTTAGAAATAATTAAATTTCAATAGATATTTTAAATTGAATTCTTTGAAATTTTTAATTGTAAAATTGTAATAACATTAAAATTTTTATTTTGAAATAAATTGATTAGAGTTTTAAAAAATTTTATTAAAAAATTCTCTCTAAATTCAGTGAAATTTGACTGAGAATCAATGATTCTATTCTCGCGATTTGAATCAGTGGAAGTTAACTGAAAATCAGTCAAAAGACTGAAATTTCAGTTATTCTTCACTGATTTGACATTTTAAAAATTACTGGGAATTTCTGTCTGGAAAATTCAGTTATTTTTTTAATTATCCAATCAGTGGAAAATGACGGATATTTCAGTAGTTTTTAACTGGTAACTTCAGTGCAATTTCACTGATTGTAATCGCGAGAATAGAGTCACTGAAAATCTGTCAAATTTTACTGATTCTGTTTTAGAGAGTTGCATAAAGAAATGATTGAATTTTGTGAGAACTACAATTGTAATTTTTAGAAAAAGCTTCTCAAAAAGATTTTACATTGAAATTATTTAAAAATATTTTAATTCCCGTAGCAAAATAAATAGATATTTAAATATTTATAGCTACTTTTCTTCAGTCTTAAAGCAACTTTTTGAATTTTAAAGAAGTAGCAAAAAGTATAAATTTTTACAAAAAAAGTATAAATATTGAACAAAGCATGTACTATGGTGTTTCAAAAAAAGTTACAATTCTTGAAAATAAGTGAAGAAACAATTTAAATTTGAAAAAGAAAATAAAAAAGTGCGTAACATTAAAATTGGAGCAATTGCAGAATTGACCAGAATTGCCCTCCTCCTCCATTCATCAATAAAATGATTGGTGAACTACGCGAATTGCTGCAAAAATAGAGATGAAGACTTTAGACCCCGTGAATTGGAACCGGAAGTTCCTGGTTCCAC